AAACGTCCGGTCTGTTTTGCAGATTTTGTAAACGTTTGTTATTTCCATTAACACGCCTTTTTCGTCTTTAGTGGTTATCCTGAGTCTCATCCACAAACGTTTCGCAAAATCGACAAAAAAAAAATCAAAACATTTTGAAAACCTAAAAAGCGTATTTGCTTTTATCATGCATGCCATGTTCCCTCTCTGGCGTCAAGCCATTTCCCCGACCCTTGCCCACCCCTCTGAGTTCTAGCTTCCAGAAACTCAACCGCCGGAACTGCCCAGGTAACCCTCAAGTGACTAGTCAAGCGGCTCAACGCAACCCCCGAGTGACCCGCCAGCCGACCCAAGGCCCCCTTCCTCACCCAAGGAACAGACAATTGCCCTCGGCCACCGACAGCGACGAACAAATTGGTCCCCAAACGCCGCCTAGGCGTTGCCGACGAGGACGCAGGATTTCTTCGTGGGACGAGTACGCCTGGATTGCTACGTGGGACGAGGAACGTGGACTAAAGTGCGGTGGGTGGAGTGACACCTCCCAAGCGCTCCGTCGGGTCTGCAGCAAAGGGAAGGTCCTGTCGGCCTTTATTCTGGACTAGCCAGTTTTCCTTGCAGACCGACCAGCCCGCCCCGACGGCCCACCGATGATGTACTCTGGTCCACACGATCATAAATAATAACTAACAAAAGCTTGGACACAGAGAACTCCGCTACACACCCCACTTCGGAAGCCCTTGCTTAAAACCATGCAACTATTCGCACCCATCCTCGCCTTCCGTTTCCCCTACTAACAGCTCCATCGAAGGCTTCCATACTTCCGCCTTCTAGGGCAAGACCATTGTAGTGTACCGGAAAACACGCGCTTTCAGTATTTTACAACATTGGATTTTACGGTTGTTTTAACCTTCAAAACGTCCATTTGTTTTACTGACTGCACATCCGTGGACACAAACCGTTTTGGTGAGTACCTTGCTGCACGTTTCTCGCTCTGGCTGATTCGCCTCCTATTTTTGTAGCCTGCACAATATACGTTGGGTTCAGTCGCTTCCGACTTCTATACTGTCTCATATTTGACACGTCTTATGTGTCATTGCTTACCGATCAGTATCCCAGGCTCCGCACAACAAACCGCTTACGTTGGCAAGATTGTCTTGCGTATGTCTCTTGACCGAACTCCACGGCGTGCATAATGCGCCGTGGCAGCTCCCAGTCGGGTGAAACAAAGAGGCAGCCGTTCGATGAATTGACAGAATGGAATTGACCAAGAGACTTGATCAAGATGATGTATGCCATTTGCATGGATGCGGGACCAGAGATAGGGTACAGTCCTGCAATCAATGGCGATCCAACATCCGGATTATTGTATCTAGCTGTTAATCAATATTCTATAACGATAAGTTTTGTTCTTCGCGGTAATGATTCCATTTGGTTCGGATGCAAAATTCTTATATTCGCTAATGAAAGTATCGTGCGTCGTCGCAACTTGATGTACCGCAACACGGATAATATTTATTTAACTGAACAAAAATGGAGCCTTTTGATGAGCGCTAAGGCTTACTCTCTGTCACACTTCCGTCTAATGAAGCAATTTTGATGTTCCTCACCTGTACAAACCTTGCGATGTTTTTCGAATGTCTGGGCTAGTTTACGTACAATTTTGAACAGTGGGATGACCATACATACCGCACAGAATCAAAAAGAACATGGTCTGGCATTGTACAGAATGCCCCAGTTATGAGCTTAGCACACAGGATGAAAATGCGTGAGGCATTTTGAAAGCTAGATTACTCTTAGCAGATTGTTCTATCATGAAGGAAAGCAGCACACTACTGTCGTGCTGGACGCGGTGGACTGAGCTTTTTTGACGGGCCATTACAAAGCATTGTTTCGCGTTTATCGATCAATGCATTTCAATGGCTGAGGGTTCGACTGTAAAACAGCCGGCGGACTAATTTGTCTGTCTGTATCCTGAGCGATGAATTGGCTGTCCGATGTTAGCACGTCTGCGGCCCGTCAGATCTTGCAGGATAAGCTTAAGCAGCTGGTTCATTCATCGGAATTCTCTCTGAGGTGCAACCAAAGCGAGTGAGCGATAAGGGACACAGTGTAGGATATATTCTTTCCTTGGAGATCCACAACTGTTAATGGCTCGTCATATAGATCTCAGATTTGGTTTTCGGTTGAGACCATAAATGTTACTGTGTGGCTCGGGATTCGGGAAATTGCGAGCATTTCTGTAGGAAGGGCACGAAAATTTCAATGTGGAGCTAAATGGTGGTACGCACAAACTAGATCCGAAAGATAGAATGCAGTAACCAGTGTTGATTAAACTGAATCGAAGAAGTGTAAACACATGTGTGTGCATTGCGAAGAGATAGTAAACCCGGTCTGAGAGATTGTGACCGCACGGTGATCATACACGCATGTAGTTAGTCTCGCACTCGAGTTGGGAAATGATTGGTTGGCTTATTGTCGCATCTAATAGCTTCCAGGACAGCCCAGTGGCTCACCTAGACTATACTCTGAATTTTACTCGGATTAAGTTGGTCCTAACACTAACAAAAGCGCTATTTTGGCAACAGTTTTCTGAAGGTAACTGGTAACCTTTCTCGTTCTTATCTTGGCACCTCCAAAAAAGTTCAGACGAAATGCATCCGAGTTGGTTGCGTGCTTCTCGCCGTATACTATGTTGTTCGTCACTTCCTGAAAGGTAAGCACTTTCACTTGTGACAAACCACTGATCTACGCCTTCCACAACACGTCGCCTAGACAATCTCCGCGTGAAATTCGGATTTCACCCCCCATGTTTTCAACCGATCTTCAACATGAATTTGGGAAGAACGTCATGGCGGACACGCTCTCCAGAGTAAACAATACCTATGACAGCTCGAACAGTCGACCTACCAGATATGGCCGCTGCACAGGAAGTCAAGAACGGACTGTTGTCCTGCAAAAGTCCTAAGTTGAGGCTGGTTACGAAATCGCTTCCGTCAAGTGCCGGCACCATGTGGGGGGATATTGTAGGGGGCCGCAAAGCTCCCATTGCAATGGCGCACTCACCAATGGCTACACCATGCTTCACAATTTGGTCTCGCAGTACTGACCGGCGACGAACAGTCCTGAATTAAATCAGTCATCTACGGTTCCACTCTAGGACGGGGCTATCTGAGAGACCTGGTGAGGACTGAGGACTGTTGCGTAAACTATCCTAGGATTTTGTTCTTAGGTAACTAGGGGATTAAGCAGCTCGCTTGTTTGAATTTCGTTAACTTTTCGTTGTGTCAACACAAACACGCCTGTCTGACACGGAAGGACCTCAACTACCGATAAACGCCTACGAACTATGCGCACGCTTGCACGTTTCCTAGCTAGCTATCGTTTTTGTGCCACATTTCTAGCCACAGCTGGTCTAGAACTAATTTATGCGGTTTATTTTGCATGTTCTTGCTTTTCTGCGGTAGGCCATACGGGGTAGGGAATGCTTCCCGATGCATTTGCGTAATCCCCGGCTATGCAAAGATTAACTATGACACGCTTTCTTTGGGCCGGGTGCAGATTTTTTTAGTGATGCAAGTATCACTATTTGTGTTTTTGTTTTGAGCTCGACATGTCACATATACAGCTACTGTCATAATTTATGTATGGTTGTTAATGGTAGAAGGGACACAGGAGACAGAAATGTAGTCTACAGGTGTCTCAGTACTAGGTATAATATTAGCTTGCTTGGTGTTGATGGAGATAGGCACATCCCCGTTGCCACTTGGAGAAGTCCCAGAAGGCCGACGAGGACTAGAATGCGAGGCACCACCTGGTTTTAATGACGCACTGGACCCTGCAACACCATAGAATCGAGAGGCTGCGTGGTTATGGCTCTGAGTTAACCGCCTTTGCAGAGGTTATGGATCATAATGATTTTGAAGTGTCCTCCTAAAAACTTCAGCAGTATTGGGCGTGAGGTCATGTTTACCCCCTTTTGCAATGAAGCTTAGAAAGCTGAGTCCATTCAAATTGCATAGAAGAGCATTTTAAACTGTGGACAATTAAGTTAACAGGTAGGTTGAAAATAACCTTTTGCGATTAGCGTAGGCAGTCTTACGTCTGGGATCTGATTGAAGATAGTAAGGAAACAGCTGTGCGCAGGCGATCTAGTTTAAAACATACTGATCCTCTGAACAATCCACAGAATGATAAAACGTATTCACGGCTAATGCTAAAATCATGAATTTCGCTTTCCAGCCTAGTAATCTTTTCCATAGCAACGGTAATCCCGCCGGTCACTTTTGGTGGGATGTGGCAGCGAAGTTAGGGTTTACAGCTATACCCACTATCGTTATTGTAAAACAACAATGGATGGAATAGTAGTAGTGACATCGTGTGTCTTATGGTAGCTAATGGCTTCATTTTTAACTAAAGTGAGGGACTTCTCGTTCACCCAGTGCTAACAAGCATTTCTATGAATACTCGGTAGGACGTCCAGATGAAAGTGTAATTATTAAAAGACTAGGTAATAGGAAATGCACAGGGGGACGAGCAAAAATAATTTGCGGTGTATAAAATACAATAGGTGTCCAAAACCAACGGGATTAAATTCCAGCGGTGCTTCGCGGTACAGCTGCGATGCCCATGGAAAGCTAGTAATCGGATAATCACAGTTGATTTTTTCAGTCTACATGTTCGCACTCTTTGCTGCAACTTCTTCACATTGTAGATATGAGTGTAGTAGTGAGGACCGTGACAACTGAAGTCATCGCTGTTTGGAACAGAATTAAACCGTCACAGACGAAAGGAAGCTGCGATGAGAACCATCTAGTGAAAAACGTCGGTCAAACGAATGTTAGGATAACAAAACGAATGCGCGGGGTGAGAAACTACCAAAATATAATAAATGGCAAGCAATTGATGATAGACAACCTCAAAGGGGAGCACAAAACAAAAGTGAAACCGTGACAAAGGCGTCCATCAAAAAGGCAAAACAATAAAGGAATCACAAAATTTCGTGGTCATCCACGAGAAGTAGATTAGTCCAGTCTCAAGGAAGTGGTGTGTTGCACTTCTAAAACACGGGTCGGGGCTCGACGAGCCTGTATTGTGTCTGCGTGGAAGAAACAAGCCACTCCAAACGTGGCCCAAAGGGCGTAAATCATCACTTGCCAATGGAGCAACAGCTTGTTCGCGTACGAGAAGCTGATTGCCGTCAAAACCGACTGAAACACAACGGAAAATATGAAATGACAAAACTAATGTACTCGAAAAGCTGTTAATGGCATATCAAGCAGACGTTTGACAGGAGCTGACTGGAAATCAAAAACAGACGGTTTAAGCGTGATGAGGACAAGTGAGGCAAAGATATCAGCAGCACGCCAGTACGCATCACAGACGCGTCGCTGCCGCGCAACCACTACCAGTCGCACGTGCGAGTGTCGCCCGGTTTGTACGCAGGCTCGAACCTGTGCCCTCGGGTTACAAGACAGGCTTGTGATTCTGAGAGCTACAGGCTGCCTGAGGGTATGTGAAGTGTAAAGTGACGTTATTCGTCCCGATTTAGCCGGGGGTAAGTCGTGTCGAACGCAAACCAAACAGTTGCCGATGCAAACACAAAGAATGCCCCTTTCCAAGTTATAGTTAGGCTATGAACGCAAAGTTCGAGTAGGTACCAGATACAAAAAACCTAAGAACAACGGCACTAGCGAAATTCAGTGCTACAGTGCGAAGAGCAATCACTGGAGTGAAGCCACGTCCACCGATAAGGCAGTTGTACATATGACGGGAAGTCCAGAGGCAGCTGTTTGATCTAGCAACTGTTTCTTAGACGGGGATGAGTGAACACCTTAAAAGAAACTCAGCGAAGCATGAAGAATGCGAGGCATACCTGAACACACCGGTACAATGCGAACGCGACAGGGATGTCTTCTTTACGTTCTCGATAAGTGTTTCCTATTAGAACGCCCAGTTGGGTGTTCCACACGGCGTCCACCATTCCAAACAGTGCCGCAGCCACTATGGCAGCTCCAATGCTAAAAGGAGATTGAAACAGAAACAGTATAGGAGGGCAAGCAGGAACTTAAGACGGGAGAATGAAAAGTTAGAAGAGAATTAACAAGTGTATCTGCAGGACGCCGGAACTTCGTGTCGAGAATTTGTTGCCACTACCACCGGTCGCACGCGTAATGGTACAGGTTAACGCATCTGTACATGCTCGGACCGATGACATTTGGATTACAAGATGGAGGTCTGAAATGATCCGTTACCGATGAGAAACGGAAGTTAACCGCCCAAGCCACCGACGGTGGAGGAAATAATAATTAAGTAAGTTATGCCAAAAATAATTAAGCATCTTGGATCAGATGCAGTATGAAATACCGGCAGAAAAAATACACCTGTAGATCTATTTACCTCGGGGTGACGTAGGTGCTGTCATAAGTGTCTTCCATAGGGCTGTCTGCAGGCAGCATTATGAGGCATATGTAGGCGGCAATCAGAGCACTCGCGTACCCAAATAAAGTAACCAAGCCAGATGGGGATATGTATCGTCGCAAATTCATTAAGAAACTACCTAAGGTAGGAAAAAGGAAAGATTGGGTTATGTGTATAGCAACAGGATTATATAATAAACTGGAGGTGGTCAGATGCAAAATAGGCTTACAAGGAGCGTGGCGTTTAAAAGCTTTAGCATACATAATGCCAGAGAAACGTGAAATACAGATGCACTTATGCAGGTTTGAAGTGTAGGCTCATTTAGGTGTGCTTATTCCTTGACATTTGTCCTAAACTTATTGACATTTGGGTATGTTTTGGATACGGAGAACAGTATTTCCCTGATGTGAATGCATCTGATCGGCGTGTAACTCGTTTGGTTATTACTTTTTCGCGGTGGTGTCTGTTGCGATCTGTTACGTTTTGTCGATGTGCGTCCTCTGACCATTTTACCATATAAACATAATAGTTCTCGTAGCGAAGAACCCTGACCCTGCTCGTTAGTTGGTCTAAATACCAAACTGAGGGGAAGTTACTCGCGGGACCGACACAACGCATATCTTGCCGTAAATGAGGACAAACTACCACTTGACACTGTCTAATTGTGAATGCGTTGCGGTATGTCGGAGTGAGGAACTGAAAGCAAACTCCAAGTCCGGGTGTGAGATCGCCACACATGGAGGCTTGACAAATCACTTCGAAAACACATATGGAAGTCAGCTAACTGGGGAATCCATGAGTAAATCGCACCTATGCGCATTAATAGTAGCAAATAACGATTTCGAGCCTAGCGGCTATGCAGAGGGTGCTAGCTAAACTGCTTTGGTGGATTAAGTTCATTCGATGATGGCGAATTCCAAGTAAGCTTAGTCTATCGGACGGTCAGCCATGCAGTACAAAGGAGTAAGGTATGATAACGGGCAGGTGAGCCAGAAGTGGTGCAGAGTTGCTGAGAGGCAGAGGACTAAAGTCAATGGTTTGGATGGGGATCCATGGAGAGTTGGTTAGCGGCAGACAACGATGGTTGGGTTCCCGTTGCGTCCCTCGGATGTATGATGTAATGGAGAACATAGAAAGGCACATACAGAAATGCCCAGCGCCAAGTGAATAGTGCCCATCCAAAAAGTCTTGAGGCAGGAATTCACAAATTTGTGTACTCGCATTCATCAACAGCCTTTAAATCAAAAGTTAAAAATTCTAGATCACGCTGTGTCGTGATAAGTTGATAGGATGAGAAAGAGGATGGAGCCACACCAAAATAGTCTAAAAGAGTAAAGTCATACAGCCGGAAGAAACGTGAAAAGAAATAGGAACTAGGTAGACACGAACCACTGGCCCACGTTTGTGACGAGTTGTGAAATGTCTTCCAGACATGTTACTGGTAACGCAACTTTCATACAAGGTTGAAAACTGGTAAAAATGCTGACAACAAATACTGTTCCCAGCTGCCTCGAGACATCACATCAGCCACCTGTGCAATTCGACTGGTGGAACCCTGGCCTGACATCTGACAGCTCGTTTACCGCAGGTAATTGCTGGGTACCTTTTTCTACCTAGAAATATAGGGCAGTAGGTTCGAATACGTGAAATATGTAGCCAAATATCTCTTACACAATAATATAGAAGAGTCGAAAATAAATTCGTATTTCAAAAGTACAACACCATGAAAATTTTACCAATAAAGTGGGAACAAAAAACCACAACATTTGAAACATAGAACGATGAACCTAAATACGGTATCTTTCATATGCTAACGATAGTGCCGAATGTAACGAAAAAGGCATATACCATACTATTGTCCGTAACTACTAAACTTTCCGTCTAAGGTAATTCATGCTAATAAATTAGTAGTAGCAGCGAATAAATAATTTTTGATTCCGCATAACTTAACTCAAATTTTGAAAAGGTACTCGAAGTTGTGAAGCAAAATTTACGTCAAATTCACATTCACGCCCACTAATTTCAAGTAGGTGTAACCACTAAATCAGCCGCAAAATGCGATGTACATCCAGGAAATGCCACAACCGGTGCCAAAGGAAAATGGTTGGCGGCATCCTGTTTCGGATTTGCCTGTCACTGTGGCCAGCCACAGGACGCCTGCGCCTACAGAGGGACCATGGATGGCTTGCGCTGCACCACTCACAGCTCCATCCACACACACCATATCCAGTGTAAACCCGAAGGAATAAGATCGGGAGGCATGTGGATGAGAGCCACGTTTCATCAATGGAGTCTGCCCATACTCCTTCACAGGCAAACACAAGCACGCTGTGTTGGGGGAATCAACCGCACAGAAGGCGGTAGCTGGACCGTAGTCCGCTCTGAATTGACTGCATGGAACCAATCTTCGAGCCTAGCACGACCACAAGGACAGTGCACCCCGTCCCCTTTAGAAACGACCAACTGTCTGCTGGAGCCAGATGGACGAGGTAGTGGGTAATAGACAGGTAGGCACCTTGTCAACATGCACATCAAGCGCAGCCACACCTAGGATGTCAAACAACAGCCAGTCACTCAAAATGCCGATATCGAATAAAGTAAACGCATATGACGATCTAAATACTCGCTAAATGAGCATATAGAAGAAATTGGTTGTAAGTGAAACCGTGATAAGTACAAAATGTGCAAGTTATTTAAAAAATATCACGCGATACAATTACGCAATTTTACCACAATTTGTATGAGCGACGTGTGCAAGTTGGGAGAAGATTATCAAGTACGCAGAACAAACCAAATAAAATGTAACGAACTTTATCCACATTAAAATGACCTAGTTTAAGTATAAGTTGGTTTAACCCAACTGCGGTGAAGAAGCATCATGAATGCGACATCAGCCTCAGCATGGGGCACACATATATACATGGTTGGCGGCATCCGGTTTCGGATTTGCCTGTCACTGTGGCCAGCCACAGGACGCCTGCGCCTACAGAGGGACCATGGATGGCTTGTGCTGCACCACTCACAGCTCCATCCACACACACCATATCCAGTGTAAACCCGAAGGAATAAGACCGGGAGGCATGCGGATAGGAACCACGTTTCATCAACGGAGCCGGCCCATTCTCCTTCACAGGCAAACACAAGCACGCTGTATTGGGGGAATCAACCGCACAGAAGGCGGTGGCTGGACCGTAGTCCGCTCTGCACTGACTGCATGGAACCGCTCTTTGAGCCTAGCACGACCACAAGGACCGTGCACCCCGTCCCCTCCAGCAACGACCAACTGTCTGCTGAAGCCAGATGGACGAGGTAGTGGGTAACAGACATGTAGGCACTTTGTCAACAGGAGCATCAAGCGCAGCCACACCGGGGAAATCATGCAACAGCCAATCACTTGAAACGACAATCTGAAATAAAGTAAATCCAATAATGCATACACATACGGTGGCATAACTCTTCCCTAAATTACCATATGAAATAAGTTGGTTAGCAACGAATCCGCGATAGGTAAGAAATGTCCACAAAATACTTAAAAATGCTACAAACGCAACAAAATTACCGAAGATAAGCGCAATTAGCGTAAGCCACGTGGCCAGTTAATAGAACATT